GCTTAAAACCAGAGTTTTTGACTCACCACTCCAGGTGCTGTTCTTTCCACCTCTATAGTCTTGACTTCGATCTTTCTCTCCAGTGTAGTAGAGGGAAATGGATCGCCCATCGATCTCTGTTCCCTGCTTTTCTTCAAAGGTTTTCTCTGCATCAGCTTCTGTCTTAAATTCAATATAAGCAATCCCTTTACTCTTCCCATCCTTGCTGACTAATCTGATCTCCATAGCATCTTCAAACACTTCTTTCAATTCATCCTGAGTGACTTTATAAGGAAGATTTTTGGCCAAAAGTGTTCTGGCATCTTGATCTTTCTTACTGTCTTTCCCTTTTGGTTTCTCTAGTTTAATTTCATTGCCAAAGACTTTCAAACCAGCGAGCTCCAAGGCCTTTTCCAGGTCTTCAGCAGATTCAAAATCCACATAGCCAAATTTTCTAGTCATACCAATTCTGACATCCACGACAGCAAGATCATTTTTAGTAAAAACATCACTGATACCAGTTTTTAATTCGGGAGCAGATTTGTTCGAGTTCAGGTTTCCAATAAAGAGATTGAAAGATGTAGTTGGTTCTGTGGCTTCCACTTTCTGTTTCTTGGTTTCAGGAGCTGCTTTCTATTTGGTCATTTCCTTCTTTCGTTTTCCAGGTGCTTCTTTGACAGGCTCTTCCTCCACCTCCTCCTCCTCCTCTTCATCATCCTCCTCCTCTTCATCATCTTCCTCATCGTCGTCATCCTCATCTTCCTCCTCTTCATCTTCATCTTCGGCCATGCTCTTAGCTTTCACAGGAACAGCTTTTGCAGTTTTCTTTCCTTTGGCTGGTGTGGTCTCCATAGCTTCTTCTTCAGAGTCATCTTCTTCATCATCCTCATCCTCATCCTCTTCATCATCCTCATCATCCTCGTCCTCTGAGGCAGGGGCAGCAGTTGCTGCTTTAATCACTGCTGGTTCAAATTCATCCTCCTCCTCATCTTCATCATCATCCTTATCATCCTCCTCACTGTCATCCTCCTCCTCATCACTGTCTTCCTTCTTGGCATTCTTGCCGTTCTTTGCTCCCTTGGCTGGGGTGGCAGCGCCCTTCTTACCAGGGGTTGCTAGCAGTGCTTTGCCTGGTGTGGCTCCCTTTTTGCCAGGTGTCGCAACTGCTTTGGCTGGTGTAACCGTCTTCTTGGCCTGTGTGGCTGCTGCCTTTTTCCCTGGGGTGACAGCTGCTTTCTTCGCAGGTGTGGCAACTGCAACCTTTTTTGTTGGAGAAATCACCACTTTCTTTGCTGGGGTTGCATTAGCCTTCTTGCCTTTCTTCTGAGGGATGATAACCTCTTCTTCACTGCTGTCATCATCTTCATCTTCTGACATTCCTCATCTTCACTATCTTCTTCTGCCTCCTTTGGGAGAGGAGCCATTTTCTTGGGGTCACCTTGATTTTTACCTGCCTTTGTGAGCTTCACCATGATGGCAGCTTATGATGGCGGAGTATGTATCGGGCAAGTGGCAGAGACAAACCTAGAGGAACTAAGCGACGTCGATGGCGGCCACGGGTACAGAAGATCCCGGAGCACGTACGCCTCGCTGCCAGCTAGAGCTCGAGACTTGGCTTTATACTTTTTAAAAGATTTTACTTCGAAAAATTTCAAACACACACAAGAGATAAGAGGGTACACATCATCCAGTTTAACAATTACCAATATTTTGCTGTTCTTAAAATATTCCCGAACATTTTTTTGTTGCTGTATTTTAAAGCAAATCCCAGATGTCGTATTATTTCACCATAAATTCTCTAACATGTAAGAACCTAAAAATTGTTCAAACCAATACCACTAACATACTCAAACAAAACCCCAATAATTTCTTAATGTTGAATTGTGTTCAATTTTCCTCAGTGGTACCAAAATTGTCCTTTTACAGTTGGTTTGTTTGGACAAGGATATAAACAAGGTCCAAACGTTGCATTTGGTTATCGTGTCTCTTAAATCTCTTTAGATCTATAAAAGTTACCTGCATCCTCCTTCTTTTATGCAATTTATTTTTGAAGATCTATAGATTATTTTCCCTATAGTATTCCTCTCATTCTATATTTAACTGATTTTATTCTTGTGGTGTTAACATATTTTGTTATCTCATATACCTATACTTTCTGAAAACTGGTACTGAAATCTAGAGACTTAATTGGATTTATTAGGTTGAAGTTTAAATTTTTTTGAAAAGGAAAAATTCATAGTTTATATATTATAATAGGAGAAACATATTTCCTGATTGTCCCACTTTTAGTGAAGTTATTATTGATCAACGGATTATTAGCCTGATTCATCACTTATACACTTTCCAATTAATCTTTAACATAGTGGTTTTAGTAATGATGGTCATTGCTAGATTTATTACATTTTTATGTAATAAATAGCAAAATAGTAATTTCTAATGTTGTCATCCTTTCTCCATCTATTAACTGTGATTCTTCTATAAAGGAGAATTTTCCTCATTGATTCTTTTATTACCCTGAAAAACAGTCCATAGGAAAGGCAGGGTAAATGCTTAATTTTTTTCTCTTCATCAATTTTTCAAATAAGTTGTTCTAGAAACCTCCAAATGAACGAAGAGTGTTTTGTTTCATATTTTTACATGAATAATTTTATATTCATGAATTCAAAAATATTTTATGTGTTTTGATCTACCACAGTTATTATTACTACTCTTATATTGTCTCATCTTTGGCCAATGGAAGTCCCTTTTAGTAAGATTCTGATTGTTATTAATATGATCACAATAATTTTTGGTATTTTTTTATTGTTTCAGGTAGGACAAGATGTTGCAGGCTCATTTCATGCATTTCCTGCCACACCTAGAACCAGCTCTGCTTACTTTTAGTACGAATTGGTATTTAAGACCACAATCTGGGTACTAGAGGTGCTCATTGTTATTAGGCTATCAATGTCCTTTTTCAGAGGACAGAACAATTAGTAAAAACTACAAGTCAATAAAAAAAATCATAAACAAGCCAAGAGAAAATGGACAAATGATGTGAATAGGTATTTCACAGAAGAAAAAGTCCTAATGATTATAAACATTTGAAAAGATGTTCAACCCCACTAGCAACCAGGGGAATACAATGAAATACTGTTTCGTATTCCTCCAATTGCAACAATTAAAGAGCCAGCAGCATGGGCAAGGATGTGGAGTGGAGGCAACTCATACAGTTCTAGTGGGAGTATAAATTATTACAATTACTCTGGAGAATGATTTGTCCTTATTGAGTGAACATGAAGACATATATGTACCCTGAGACCCACGCCTATACCCCAGGCTAGAGAAACCATGCATCCATGTACTTGGAGACATATGTAATGATGCTCATTGCTGCATTGCTTGCAGTAGCAAAATACTATATTAGAAACAGCCTAGATGCCTATCAGAAAGAGAATGGATGAATAAATTATGGAATAGTCACAGAACAGAAGGCTATAGAGCAGTGAAAATGAATAAAACAGAACTATAGTACCAACCTGGATAAATCTCATAGACAATGTGCTCAATGGAAAAATCAAATTGTAGAATATAGCACACGGAATGATGCTATATTTTAAATTTAGGGGTACACACATACATATACATACATATGAATGCTAAGCCCTGAACTTAGAGTAGAAGTTATCCCTGGTGAAAAGATACAGGGGGCTTCAAATGTGCTGGTAACATTTTATTGCTTAACTGGGAGGTGGTTAAATAAATATTCATTATTTTATTCTTTATATCTTTTTCTGTTTCTTAATTTACATGTAACATGTATTTTTTAAAAAGAGAGAAAATTAGACTTAAATCAAAAGATGAGTTCAAATTCTGTCTCTGCCATTTACTAGTGGTGACCCCAAATCACTGCTCCAAATCTCACTCCCATCTGTGCAGTGATGACAATACCTTCCCCAGAGGATTGCTGGGAAGGTAAATGAGATAATATGCTTCGCACTGTGTCTAAACACAAAGTACCAACCCAGTGTTTGAGTGTTTTGTTTGTTTTATGTAGGAAGGAAGAGTTTCAAAGGGAAACAAATCCTGAGGGACAAGAGAGTTCCTGGGGGAGTAGGAACTAGGTCTTAAGAAAGGCAGTTCCTCTGACCAAGGAATTGTTCTCTTTCTTGTGAGGTTGTCAGGAATGAGGAAGAGCAGGTAGAGAAAATAGGGAAAGAGGTCCGGTCAGAGGCTTGGGGAACATCAACACTAGAAGGAACATTTAAGGCAGGAAAGAATAGCCCTTGGGAGATAATCTTCTTTTGCTCAGAAATCTTATGCTCCAGAAACTCTTAGAGGATGCCACTCTCCTTTCCCTGGAAATTGCCAACTATACCTGGCTCTCAACAGTCATGCATGCCCATATTAATTTGACTCTACCCTTGCTTCTGGCTATAGCCCACAGGTCTAGGGATGGTCACCTGAACCCAGTTTGCCAACTAGAATCCCAGTTCCAAAATTTGAAATATGAATTCTCCCTTTTCTTGGCAAGGTTCTAAAGAGAAGACCTTAAAGCACCTAAAGGAGGTGCCTGATACTGTCCCAGTCCCTACCCTGCCTGAGTCATGTTCAACTCTTCTGTGGATTCTCTGAGACATCCCACTATCCCAGTATCCTTTCAATAAGTTCATTTTTTAAAAATTGTTGCTTAAAAGATAAAATAAGAGTGTTCATGTGTTTAACAATCTAAACAAATAAAAAATTACTTTAGCAACAAGCAAAATAAAATAGGAGAATATTTAAGAGAAGTGGAGAACAAAAGTAGGGAGATCCAGAACAAAGAACAGAGATATAATGTTAAACAAAGAAGCAGTAAAAGAAAGTTCCACCAGGCTGAAAAAAAAGACATAGTTTCTGATAAAAAGGCCCCAAAATGCCAAAAAAATGAATGAAAAAAATTATTTCATCTAGACACATCCTTGTAAAATTTCATAATACCAAGAATCAAGAGAAAACCCCATAAGCATCCAGAGAGAGGAAGTAAAATATTATTAACCCTCCAAAATGTATTAAGCTATTATTGAAATGTATTAAGCTATTATTGAAATGTATTAAACCTTGTCATTAACACAATTGATACACGAAGACAATGAAGTAAAGCCTTCAAAGTCATGTGAGAAAATGATTTTGAATCTGTAATTCTACCTTCTCTCAAATTACCAATCAAGTATGGTCACCAAATAAAGATAGTCTTGGATATTCATAGACTTGAATGGGAAAAGAAATTGCTCAAGGAAGTATCCCAAGAAAATTAAAAAAAATAAGAAAGAAGAAAAATTGAGATACAAAGATCAGTGGCAGTTGAGTATACTCTAGAACAGTGGTTCTTAAACTTGAATGTGCATCAGATTCAACCAGAGGTTTGTTTAAAAAAGCCTCAGTAGATTCTGGTTATCAGCCCTTTATCGGATTTGTAGCATGCAAAAATTTTCTCCCATTCTGTAGGTTGTCTGTTTGCTCTTGTGGCAGTTTCTTTGGCTGTGCAGAAGCTTTTTAATTTGACCAGGCCCCATTTATTTATTTTGGTCGTGGCCGTGATTGCCTTTGGGGTCTTCTTCATAAATTCTTTGCCTAGGCCAATGTCTAGAAGAGTATTTCCAACATCTTCCTCTAGAATTCTAATAGTTTCACTCCTTAGGTTTAAATCTGTTACCCAGCGTGAGTTGATTTTTGTGAGAGGTGAAAGGTGTGGATCCTGATTCAGTCTTCTACATGTGGCTATCCAGTTTTCCCAGCACCATTTATTGAATAAGGATTCTTTTCCCCAGTGTATGATTTTGTCTGCTTTGTCCAAGATTAGGTGGCTATATGAGGATGGTTTTATATCTGGGTTCTCAGTTCTGTTGCACTGGTCAGTGGCTCTATTTTTGTGCCAGTACTAAGCTGTTTTGATTACTACAGCCTTATGATAAAGTTTGAAGTCTGGTAAGTTGATACCTCCCATTTTGTTTTTATTGCCTAGAATTGTTTTTGCTATGTGGGGTCTTCTCTGGTGTTTTTAAAGTTTTAATAACAACGATCAGAAGAACTAAAAAAAGCAAGGATTTCTGCAAATTGAATAGTTTCTTTCAGAGGGTCTGCAAGGTCGAAGAATTTTGTAATAATACTGAAGTTTCATTTGCCTTTTCACTCTCATTCTTTCAAGAGAGTACACAGTATGAAAAGGTTGTGGTTTCAGTTTTTACATAGCAAATAACCTTTAAGAAGCTACCACTTGTCAAGTTTTGGTGTGTTCAAAGAAGACTATCAACAATTACCTAAAAACTTTCTTAAAATATTCCTCTCTTTTGGGAGTACTTACCTATGTGATGTTAGATTTTCTTCAAATACTTTAACCAAAATAACATATGTTAACAGACTGAATGTAGAAGCAAATATGAGAATCTTGCTGTCTTCAATTATGCTAAACATTAGAGATTTTGAATTTATAAAAAGAATGTTTATGTTACCATATAATGGGTTTACTTTTATTTTAAAACAAACGAAT